CCACGACCAAGTAGGCTTCATCCCAGGGATGCAGGGTGGTTCAACATAGAAAATCAATAAACGTAATAAACCACATTAACAGAAGCAAAGACAAAAACCACTTGATCATCTCAATAGATGCAGAAAAAGCCTTTGATAAGATCCAACACATTTCATGATAAAAGCTCTAAGAAAACTAGGAATAGAAGGAAAGTTCCTCAACATTATAAAAGCTATATATGACAAACCTACAGCCAGCATTATACTTAACGGAGAAAAACTGAAACCATTCCCTCTAAAATCAGGAACCAGACAAGGATGCCCACTATCTCCACTCCTATTCAACATAGTACTGGAATTCCTAGCCAGAGCAATTAGGCAAGAAGAAGGAATAAAAGGAATACAAATAGGTAAAGAAACTGTCAAAATATCCCTATTTGCAGACGACATGATCCTATACCTTAAAGACCCAAAAAACTCTACTCAGAAGCTTCTAGACATCATCAATAGCTATAGCAAGGTAGCAGGATATAAAATCAACATAGAAAAATCATTAGCATTTCTATACACTAACAATGAGCAAACTGAAAAGGAATGTATGAAAACAATTCCATTTACAATAGCCTCAAAAAAAATCAAATACCTAGGTGTAAACCTAACAAAAGATGTGAAAGACCTCTACAAGGAAAACTATACACTTCTGAAGAAAGAGATTGAGGAAGACTATAGAAAGTGGAGAGATCTCCCATGCTCATGGATTGGTAGAATCAACATAGTAAAAATGTCGATACTCCCCAAAGTAATCTACATGTTTAATGCAATTCCCATCAAAATTCCAATGACATTCATTAAAGAGATTGAAAAATCTACTGTGAAATTTATATGGAAACACAAGAGGCCACGAATAGCCAAGGCAATACTCAGTCAAAAGAACAATGCAGGAGGTATCACAATACCTGACTTCAAACTATATTACAAAGCAATAACAATAAAAACAGCATGGTACTGGCACAAAAACAGACATGAAGACCAGTGGAACAGAATAGAGGATCCAGATATGAAGCCACACAACTATAAGCAACTTATCTTTGACAAAGGAGCTAAAAATATACGATGGAGAAATAGCAGCCTCTTCAACAAAAACTGCTGGGAAAACTGGTTAGCAGTCTGCAAAAAACTGAAACTAGATCCATGTATATCACCCTATACCAAGATTAACTCAAAATGGATCAAGGATCTTAATATCAGACCCCAAACTCTTAAGTTGATACAGAAAGAGTAGGAAATACTCTGGAGTTAGTAGGTATAGGTAAGAACTTTCTCAATGAAACCCCAGCAGCACAGCAACTAAGAGATAGCATAGATAAATGGGACCTCATAAAACTAAAAAGCTTCTGTTCATCAAAAGAAATGGTCTCTAAACTGAAGAGAACACCCACAGAGTGGGAGAAAATATTTGCCAATTATACATCAGACAAAGGACTGATAACCAGAATATACAGGGAACTTAAAAAACTAAATTCTCCCAAAACTAATGAACCAATAAAGAAATGGGCAGTGAACTAAACAGAACTTTCTCAAAAGAAGAAATTCAAATGGCCAGAAAACACATGAAAAAATGCTCACCATCTCTAGCAATAAAGGAAATGCAAATTAAAACCACACTAAGATTCCACCTCACCCCTGTTAGAATAGCCATCATCAGCAACACCACCAACAACAGGTGTTGGCGAGGATGCGGGGAAAAAGGAACCCTCTTACACTGTTGGTGGGAATGTAGACTAGTACAACCACTCTGGAAAAAATTTGGAGGCTACTTAAAAAGCTGGACATCGATCTACCATTTGATCCAGCAATACCACTCTTGGGGATATACCCAAAAGACTGTTACTCCAGAGGCACCTGCACATCCATGTTTATTGCGGCACTATTCACAATAGCCAAGTTATGGAAACAGCCAAGATGCCCCAGCACTGACGAATGGATTAAGAAAATGTGGTATCTATACACAATGGAATTTTATGCAGCCATGAAGAAGAACGAAATGTTATCATTCGCTGGTAAATGGATGGAATTGGAGAACATCATTCTGAGTGAGGTTAGCCTGGCCAAAAGACCAAAAATCGTATGTTCTCCCTCATATGTGGACATTAGATCAAGGGCAAACACAACAAGGGGATTGGACTATGAGCACATGATAAAAGCGAGAGCACACAAGGGAGGGGTGAGGATAGGTAAGACACCTAAAAAACTAGCTAGCATTTGTTGCCCTTAACGCAGAGAAACTAAAGCAGACATTCGCTGGTAAATGGATGGAATTGGAGAACATCATTCTGAGTGAGGTTAGCCTGGCTCAAAAGACCAAAAATCGTATGTTCTCCCTCATATGTGGACATTAGATCAAGGGCAAACACAACAAGGGGATTGGACTATGAGCACATGATAAAAGCGAGAGCACACAAGGGAGGGGTGAGGATAGGTAAGACACCTAAAAAACTAGCTAGCATTTGTTGCCCTTAACGCAGAGAAACTAAAGCAGATACCTTAAAGCAACTGAGGCCAATAGGAAAAGGGGACCAGGAACTAGAGAAAAGGTTAGATCAAAAAGAATTAACCTAGAAGGTAACACCCACACGCACAGGAAATCAATGTGAGTCAATGCCCTGTATAGCTATCCTTATCTCAACCAGCAAAACCCCTTGTTCCTTCCTATTATTGCTTATACTCTCTCTACAACAAAATTAGAGATAAGGGCAAAATAGTTTCTGCTGGGTATTGAGGGGGGAGCGGGAGGGGGGAGTGGGTGGTAAGGGAGGGGGTGGGGGCAGGGGGAGAAATGAACCAAGCCTTGTATGCACATATGAATAATAAAAGAAAAATGAAAAAAAAAAAAAAAGAACAGTGGTTACCAGAGGCTGGTAGGTGGGCCCATATGCAGTCAAAGGGCAACACAGTGAGGAACAATCTGAGATTACACTCACAGCAGCAGGTGATGAGGCTAATAATGATTGTATTTTATGTTTCCAAAACTGCTAAGGAGAAATATTCCAAATGTCCTTCACCACAAAAGAGAAGTAAGTATTTGCAAGCAACGTGGATATGTTAATAGCTGAGATTAATCACTTCATGTTATACAACATATGTAATATTCAGTCTGTACCCCACTAAATATATGTATGTATATATAAAACTATACTTTGTTGATTACACACGACTAGACCATCTGTGTTCACTCTCTGGATGCTCAAGCATGGCATTTGCTAATAGGCTGCACTAACTTTGTTCTTGAGAAAGGCTGAGAGGTTTTTGATAAACAACCCGCAGGGTCCTGGCTATCCTTCCTTCATTCCTATGGGGCAATAGGGTTCCAATAAGCTCCCATGGGCTGCCCACTCCACACATTCCACTTTGCTCAAACCACTTCTGATCTTCCTGGGCACAGTGCCCCAAAGCTCAGGCAGTCACTGGATATTTCAGTTCCTAGTTTTATAATGTTGCAGAAATAGCTAGAAATAGCTAGAAACAAGCACTGTGAGCTACAGCTGGCTGTCTGGGAGTCCATGGTAGAGGGCTCTCTCAAGTCCCCAGAGGAAGGCCACTGGGGAGCAAGACCTCCTACTAGCCCTGAACTCCCAAGAGCTGAATCTCCTTTACATTAGTTAGTATTTCCAACTCCAAATATTTACATCCAATAATAAGGACGCTGCACACACTGTTCACAATAACCAAGCTACAGAAACAACTCAGGTGCCCTACAACTGATGAGTGGGTCAAGACAATGCAGTACACATGCACGATAAGTTTTATTCAATCATAAGAATGATCTTGCGGTTTGAAGGTAAATGGATGCAGTTGGAGGACATCATGTTAAGTGAAGTAAGTCAGGTTCAGAAAGACAAAGACTACATGTTTTCTCTCATATGTGGAAGCTAGATCCAAAAGATAAACATACACAAAACAAACATGATCATATACAAATTCAGATGTAGAACACTTTGTCATAGTGGAACTACTCTGTGGAACTCATGGAAGAAGAGTGTGTGCAGGAGGTAGCTGTGGGAGGGGGAGGGGGAATGGAGACTAAGGTGAGGGAAAATGGCTGATGGACTTCATATACTTGTACAATATAGAACAATGAAACCTCTTGCAATTGCTTTAAGTAGGGCCTGGAGGAGGTGAGGAGGGAGAGACAGTGGGGTCGATCTAACCAATGTACAAGGTAAGCCTATTTGGAATTGTCACGATGAATCCTCCCATACAACGATATGTACTAAAAAAATAAACAAAAAAATTTTTTAAAGGCAGAGGCTGCTGGGTTAGGCTGTCCTTGGCATCCAACTTACTGACTAATGTTGGGCAAGCAGGTGTCTGGCGCACAAACCTGCTAGTGCCGCCATCAGAGCCCCCAGGTGCGTCCTGGTGCAGAGGGCGGAGGGGACTCGCTCCCTGCCCAAGCCGCATCTGCCGGGCTGGCACGGACAGGGCGGCACGTACTGGGCTGGCTCCATCCCTGCCCCCGCACACAGGTAAGGGACATTCAAATGATGCTTGTAGCCATGCAGCTTGAAGAAAACTGCCTTTAAGAAAAAGATTGAGAAAGGGCCCAATAGATCTAATGATCTAACAGAAATCATTAGAAATAATGGAATTGTTCCTGCAAATTAAATGTCCCATTGGTAATTTGAGAACTCACAGACTTGTTCTAACCCCAGAATACAGGCATCAAAGAATTGCCCTTGATTTGTAGAAAATGTGCATACATTGTTTTTCCCAGAACCTATCTTTCACCCAGGACAATTAATAAGGAATTTGAGATACATATGGTACTATATTGAATCTAGCATCATTATAAAAGAAAACATAATTCTAAATTCCTAAAAGGGAAGAAGACAAAGGGAAAAGGAGGAAAAAGACAGCCACACAAAACATATAAACTGGAAAATGTGTGGTTTGCAGAATGATGTCACGCTCTTGCTCTGCACGCCCTTGTTCCCTAACTCTGTCCCTCGATGTCCACTCACCTGCCTTTCTTAGACATCTCGTGTACTTTTCCTGGCCAGTGCACTCGGCTTTCAGCGGCCAGTGTCCATCCCCACCACAAAAGGAAGATGCCAATTTTCATATTCTGGACGGCCAACATGGAATCCCAAATCCAAACAGTCCTTTCAAGAAAGCGCAAAAAGGAGACAGATGTTCTTTTTTTCTCTTAAGACATTATTGGTCTGTTCGTTATTAGAAGGATGTTTACTCCTGCAAAAAAAAAAAAAATCAACCAGCAGTATGTAATCTGGTGAGTAGGAAAAAGCAATTTCCACTAAACCTATAAATCCTCCTGCGTCAGATGTCAGGGATTTTCTGAACTGAGGTTGAATTCCTGTGTCCCTGTGGAACAATTATTTTGGCCGATCTAAATTAGTTCATCGTGGAATTTGTTAGCTATGTCAGTGAAGGGCTGTATTTTCTGGTCATTGAGTGGAAAGAAATAAAAACAGACCAAAGTAATTTCCAAAATGCAAAAGGCCAGAGGTGCTGACTGCTTCTCTGCTTCTCCATGAGCTCCTCCCCAGATCTATTTTAAGCTTCCAGCCATTACTATTTGCTTTGCTGAGGGCTGGATTTGGACAGCTCCCTGCCCACACCTGTTCTTCCTGGGGCTGCATCCCTGGAACATCACGGACTGGTACCTGGGCAGGCTGCCTATGTGGCTGAGATTGGGAGGGCAAACGGGGAAGAGGCTCTCTTAGGTTTGATCTGCATAGGAAAAAAACAATTTTCCTTGTCAATTACCTTATTCTTCTCATGAACCTCATTGGACTTTATCACACTTAAAAACTACCAGAAATAAGTGAACTATTGCCAACAACTCTGCTATCTGCTGATAGTTTTTCTTTTCCTTTGAACCTGCTCTGAGACTAGGTATAAACTATACCCAGTCTGTGTCTTCATCAAGGGACTCTTTTAGGACGTCACCCAGTACTCCAAAATATGGACTCTTCATAGCTGAGCTGGTATGGCTTCAATAACTTCCAGACTGAGCTGGTGGACTGAATCAGGAATCCCAGAACTCTAGAGTTGAAAGCAAACAGTGTCATAAAACTGCTAAGCCAAGATCCAATGGAACACGAATTAGTTACTGTTGTGGTGTGGACACAGTTCGAGTGTTTATAACTCCAAAGGTTCGTGTGCTAGAAGCCTAGACCCCATTGTGGTGCTGGTAAGGTGGTGGAACCTTTAAGAGGTAGGACCTATGCTGGGAATGGTGGTACACACCTATAATTCCAGCACTCAGGAGGCTGAGGTAGGAGAATCACAAGACCAGCCAGGGTGCCGTAGTGACAACCTGTCCACAAGAAACAAAGAGGGAGGGCCTAGTGCAAGGTACTTAGGTCTTGGGGAGGGGGAGGTCATCTTTGAAGGAATTAATGTGGCTCTCAACTCTTCCCAAGAGTGAGTTGCTAGGGACTCTTGCTTGGCTCTCCTGCATGGTTCCTGCTTCCTTTCTCATCACGTGACATCTCTCCCTCTAGCATGTGCTCTGGTCGTGTTGCCCTCTGTCTTGTAATATAGCCAGAAGCCCCTTACCAGAGGCTGCAATGACAGAGCCACCCTATCTTGGATCCTTAGCCTCCAAGAAAAGCTAAAGAAACCTCTTCTCCTTGTACATTACTTGGGCATTTTGTGATAGCAGCAGAAAACACACTAATGATTACATAGGAGTGAACAATTGATGAGGGTTATTGATGGGGTTATTTAGAATATTATTAATTTGTCTTAACACTCTATTTTATTTCCTAGCTACAATAACAAGCTCTTCCTCATTTCTTATGCTATCTATAATTCACAATAATAGTAAATTCCTTTTTGTAAGATAAAATGAAACATTTTTAAATGATATATGATTCCCACTAATACAATTCCCCTCCTCCAACTTCAAAAACATCCAATCTCCCTCTCTCTCTCTCTCTGATGGTACTGGGATTTGAACTCAGGGCCTGGAGCTTGCCAGACAGGAGCTCTACCAGTTAAGCCACAGACCTAGCCCTTTTTGCTTCAGGTATTTTTTTTAATAAGGTCACATTTGTGCCTGGGTAGCCTGGACCGAGATCCTCCTATTTATACTTGCTGTGAAATTGGGATGACAGGCCCATGCCACTGCTTCCAGCCTTTTGTTGAGATGGGATCTCACATCTTTTTGCTGGAGCTGGCCTCAAACCTCCCAGTCTGTGGCCTCCCAAGTGTCTAGGATTACAGATGTGAGCCACTGCTCTTGGCAGAAACATTCAACCTCCTTATGTTTCAGAGCGATATAGCTATTTGCATAGGCTCACTTAGAATCTGTCTTACCGTATGCCAGGATATATTTGGAGGAATCAATTATGCAATGAAGCCCTTGCCTGGAATTTCATACTGGAGGACAATGCCCATTGTACTAGGTTTGCCAGCCATTTTAAGGATCAAGGTTTGGCTGTATTTATGGAGTAAAGTCTACAAAGTTCTCCCCTGCCCTGGGTCCAGTTGATAGGGCGCAGGCTTACAGGTAATAAGGAAGGTAACTTCCAGCTAATTTCTTGCCAATTTTTTGAAACCTCAGGAAGAAAAGAATTCACCAAATGCAAATAAAATTTGGTAGATTTTTTGGGCTTTGTTTCCTAGCTTCACTAGAATAATGATGCTTTTAAAAGTCAATCTATAGGGTGAATTTGACCAAAGTGCATTATGTGTATGTTGTAAATATCTCAGGAAACCCCTTTGTGTAATTAATATATGCTTCTAATGTTTTTAAAGTCAATCTAATCCAGGTGTTGTGGCACGCCTATAATCCCAGTTTCTTGGGATTGCAGTGTAAGGCTGACCCTGAGTAAAAATGTATGACACCCTATTCAAAACAAATTAAACAAAAAGGGCTGGGGGCAGGGCTCAAGTGGTAGAGTGCCCGCCTAGCAAGCACAAAGCACTGAGTTCAAATCCCCATACTGCCCCTCCCAAAGAAGGCAATCTGAGGTTTGTTATGATAACTTCTAGACAGAAGCTAATTTAGAATTGTTCCGTATCTCACTGAAGGAGGCCTCTAAGGCGAAAAACAGTCTTTGATGAACTTATGGAAATAATCAGTCAAACCTAAAGAGTCCAGTCTTGTGTGTGTGTGTGTGTGTGTGTGTGTGTGTGTGTGTGTGTGTGTCAAGAATAATCTTTTCTTTGAAATTACATACAATTGCAAGGGAAAAGAAGTTAGGAAAAATTGTCAGACTCGAAATGGGTACAAGATATTACTGGGTCATTGCAATGTACCGCAGAGCCATGATTCCTCTCCGTCCCCACACACACCTCCCCACACACACACAGCTTTGGGGAAGGAACCAAGGCCTTGAGCCTGCTAGGCCAGTGCTCTACCACTAAGCTACGCCCCCTCCAGCCCTCTTTGATTTTCTTTGACTAGGCTATTTTACAATTCTGTAAAGGTAGACATTAACACGCAGAAAATTGATATTAATGTATATCTTTCCTATTTGGAGCTATCCTAATTGCTCTTTTTGTCCAGGAGAGAATATAAACCTCTGTAAATCAAATCCTAATTTGAACCATTTATTACATCTTTCTGGTTCCCTCACTAATTAATAAACTAAAAAAATCTTTAATGTCTGTTCATTTTATAGGTAGATGGGAGTCTATCTTCTTATATAAATCATCCTTTACCAGCACTGTTAATAGATGTTGAAAGTAATTCAACATATAGAAATAAAGTCAGAGTATGTGCTGTCTCCAGACGGCCATGCACGGTTAGATACTTAATCTATAGTGTCTTGCTGATCTGAAAACCAAGTGGCAAAGGTGATATTCTGGGGCTAAGTACATCAAAATGTCTAGGATTATAAGGCATTAAGTTGAGGACTAGGGGGCATGAATGGATTTTCAATGCCAGATTAGAAAATGCCTTTCTTTGCTGGTGTGGTGTTACACACCTATAATCCCAGCTACTAGGGAGGGAGACGTAGGAGGATCAAGGTCCAATGCCAGCCCAGGTAAAAGCTTCAAAACCTATCAAAAGAAACAATAACCCTGAAACTAAAATACTGGGGACATGGCTCAAGGGATAGAGTGCTAGCAAGCACAAACCCTAGTACCATCACAAAAAGAAAAAAAAAATGTCATTTTCTTTTTTCAGTGGTACTGGGGTTTGAACTCAGAGATTCACACTTGCTGAGCAGGACTCTATGCCTTTCTTTTTTGTTTAGAGGATCCAGAACCAGCTCACAATAAAATGCATTATTTTGTAGAATTCATACACACTAATAAAAATACTGAAAAAAGTAGGCTGATCTACTTTCTGTGTTCTTGGTTCTGATGGAATGTGGAATGTCTAAATACACTTTGTTTTTAGCCATACTACATGTCTTCATGTTATATTCTGTCCTGGTGTGTACAAAGCAGTGTTTAGCATGATGTGGGGGGAAAGCTGAACTGTACATGGAGAGCTCCTTTTTAAATTTCAGTTTTTATTCATACCATAGCTTGACTAAGACAGCTGAAGGAATTTATTAAGCTCAGTTTTATGTAAGGAATGTTTTTGCAAGAAAGACAGAGAGAAAGAGAAAGCAAGGAAGGGAGGAAGGAAGGAAAGAGGGACGGAGGGAGGAGGAACCTGTGTGCACTTTGCTTTGTGTTTTCAATAAACTTCATTTCCACATGACTATTGCAGAGAATATCTGTGCCCTCTTTGTACAATGAAACCATAGGCGGAAGTTGTAAAGAGGAAGTGCAGCCTGGGAGAAGCAGGCAGGACTCACACCAGAACTTATTGAAGATCCAGACTGACTTCGGATTTCCATTTCAAGACCAATTTATAAAAGTTTCAAGCAAATTCTCTTTCCTCAGTATACCAGTCTCTTCTCTTTTTCCTCTTCTTTTCATTGCACAGCCAGTGCAGGGACTCCTGTTAGCAATTCCTTCAGTGGAAGGAGTGGAAGGAGTCATTGGCTACAGCTGACACCCACAAGGCCTTTAGTGTCCCCTTGCCTCCAGCCCTCACAGCCAGCCCAGCACCAAAGATGGCCTCATGACTGACAGGGCAAGCCTCAGACTCCACACACTGCCTGCCTCTAGGACCTGGCCCAGGTGCTCACCAATGGTTTTCTTTTTTTTTTTTTTTTCTTCTAGAATTTTTATTTATTTATTTATTTATTTTTCATTTTTCTTTTATTATTCATATGTGCATACAAGGCTTGGTTCATTTCTCCCCCCTGCCCCCACCCCCTCCCTTACCACCCACTCTGCCCCCTCTCTCTCCCCCCCCAATACCCAGCAGAAACTATTTTGCCCTTATTTCTAATTTTGTTGTAGAGAGAGTATAAGCCATAATAGGAAGGAACAAGGGTTTTTGCTGGTTGAGATAAGGATAGCTATACAGGGCATTGACTCACATTGATTTCCTTTGCATGGGTGTTACCTTCTACGTTAATTCTTTTTGATCTCACCTTTTCTCTAGTACCTGTTCCCCTTTTCCTATTGGCCTCAGTTGCTTTAAGGTATCTGCTTTAGTTTCTCTGCGTTAAGGGCAACAAATGCTAGCTAGTTTTTTAGGTGTCTTACCTATCCTC